AGGTTTCTTGGGAGGGACCTTATGTGATACTGTCTAAGATTTCTGAAGTCACTTATCTGGTGGGGGAAAACCTAGACGGGGGAAGGTGTAGGAAATTACATGTTAATATGCTTAAGCCTTACTACTCCAGGGCTAGGGTGGTTATGCAAGTATCCCAGGAGACAGATGGGGAGATTTCACTGTCGGGATGGGGAAAGGTAACGGCAGATTGTACTCTACCCTCTGTAGATGAGAATACCAACTTAACAGATCCCCAGAAACAACAGTTAAGGGATCTATTGTATCAACATAGGGAGGTATTTTCCAACATACCGGGTAGGACCCACTTAGCTTGTCACCGGATCAATACAGGGACAGCTAACCCTATAGCATCTGCCCCATACCGCGTTACAGGAGAACAAGCCAGACTGATCTCAAAGGAGATACAAGAAATGCTAAACCTTGGTTTGATTGTACCATCGAGTAGCCCCTGGTCATCTCCAATTGTGTTGGTACCAAAGCCAGATAATACCATCAGATTCTGTGTAGATTACCATAAATTAAATCAGGTTACCATCTCTGATGTGTATCCGATGCCGCGAATAGATGAGCTAATAGAGACCATAGGGTCAGCACAATACATAACAACCCTGGACCTCACCAAAGGATATTGGCAGGTGGCTATGCATCCAGAGGACCAGGAGAAGACCGCTTTTATTTCTAAGGATGGGTTGTACCAATTTACTGTCCTCAGTTTTGGGCTAAAAAATGCCCCAGCCACATTCCAGAGGTTAATTGATCAAATGTTAGTAGGGATGAAAGACTTTGTTCAAGCGTATATCGATGATTTATCAATTTATAGCCAGACGTGGGAGCAACATCTGGAGCACTTAGGGAAGGTGTTGCACAAAATCCGGGAGGCTGGTTTAACAGTCAAAGCCTCTAAGTGCCAAATGGCCAGGTCACATGTTAAATATCTTGGACACATAGTGGGAGGAGGTTCCATATTGCCAGATATGGATAAGGTGCAGGCAATACGTGAATGGCCGATTCCAGAAACAAAGAAACAAATACGATCGTTTTTGGGAGCTGTAGGATTCTACAGACGTTTTATTCCTGAGTTTAGTTCTCTGGCGGCAGTATTAACTGATTGTACAAAAAAGTCATCACCGGATAAAATTAAGTGGACACCTGAGTGTCAGACCTCCTATGATTTGTTGAAGAGTGCCTTAATAAGTGAACCTGTTTTGATTGCGCCCAATTTTGAGAAACCTTTTGTTTTAACCACAGATGCCTCCAAGGTAGGACTTGGGGCAGTGCTAGGTCAGGAAAACAAAGAGGGTGTGATGCAACCTGTGCTGTATCTCAGTAAAAAGCTGATAGAGAGGGAACAGCACTTGTCAGTAATCGAAAGGGAATGTTTGGCGATAGTGTGGGCTATCACAAAATTGAAACCCTACTTATGGGGAAGAAGGTTTACCTTGTGCACTGACCATTCACCCTTAAGGTGGTGGTTACACCAGGTTAAGGGCACTAATAGCAAGTTGATTCGTTGGAGTTTAGCCCTCCAAGATTACGATTTTGAAATAAAACATATAAAGGGCACTCAGAATGTAATTGCAGATATCTTGTCTAGAGCCCTGAGTGAAGGTAAAGGTTAAGATTACAAAAGGTATAGTATTTGCTATGTTGAATTGATTATATGCAGTGTTATAATGTATTTAACATGTTTTTTCTCCCTTACAGGAATGTATTTATTGTGTATAATGTATTTATGATATGTTGATTACAAAATGTATTTACTGCATAAATGTTTTATTGCATAAGGTGTTTATTGCAAGTGTAGGTATGTAC